TAGGGTTTTATATTGTTTTATCTCAAGATAAAGAATAAGGAATGATCTGAACACATTTCTCAAATCTTGAATAAGACCTTTTTTGAAAACATTTAGCAAAATTAAAAACGGTTTATTTCTCTAAGTTTCTAAACAAAACACAAAACAAAACTTCACATTCGCTTCTACTTTCAGCGCGGCTCAAATTCTCTTGAGGAATATACATAAAATCTCTCCCGAACTTTCGGGGCATCCCATCAAATCGTGGGGCATTACAAATAAAAATCTCTCCCGTAAATATCGGGCTCTCCCAGTAAACTTTGGGGTAATCACAAATAAAAATCTCTCCCGTAAATATCGGGAATCCCATTAAATATTTTGGGTAATATACACATATAGACAGAACAACAACAAACTTAGAGGAAACACGTTAATACTTTGTGAATGTTATTGGGTTAAATTCCAAATTACCATACTGTTAACTCGATTCTAGTTAAAAATTTCACGAAACATTTTAGTTCTCGATTTTGAATGCCAAAATATGTGTTCAAAAACAAACAATTATAATCTATAATCTTTTAAAACAACATGACTCATTGGAAAACAAACAATATATATACAATTTTGTTTTAGTCATTTTCCTACAAATAGTTAAGGACTGTTCCACTACTAGCTTGAAAATTATATTAAATTAAGTAACTACACCATGATATTTAATAAAGCGTGATGATAAACTGCTGATTTCCCAGTTAAATTATAATACATTATAGCACAATGTCATTATTAACCGGCCATGGTAGGATTAGAAAAAGACTTACCTTAGAAATAATTCTTTGATCGCCTAGTGGTTATGACTTCAAAACGTTGGTCTGGTCTACGGCACCAATTTATATGTGACAGTATTGGGTCATTATATCAAGTTCTGGATGACAAGACTAGTTTCACATCTTATAATACTTTTATTCTCTGCTTCTTCTAACATATTATGTATAAAACTTAAAGACTCCATAACTAACTTGTATTGAGGGAGCCATGCCCTAGCTTGGCACAAATGTGCCACCTCCAGTACGCTCTCCCTCATTCCGCCTCGTCCCGTGCCTAGGCGCTCATGGCCTGCGCTCTCGTGTCCTGTCCGGACCTCTCTGAGATTTCGTTTGTTAATCTGGGTTTATAAACCATTCCAGACAAAGGAATCTTATTAAACATCTGGCTAATGTATCATATCAAGTTTAACATTCGATACATGCTAATCAGACAAAGAAAGTTTAAATAAAACATGCCAGCAAGTTTACATAATCATTACCTAATCACATAGACCAAGGACTCCAGGCATGTCGATAACGAACAGGTGTCAAGTTGGCAGGAAGCGTCTTTAACATCAGATAATCTGATTATGTAACAGTATTCTGACCCTTTTAATGGTATGCATCACGATATCTTGTATTTTGTGTTATGGCCCGTACTTTGACGTTAAATACCCCCCCCCCTTCCTCATTTAATACCATTTCTTATTATTTCTTTTTTCAAGGTATGTAAATACAGATGTGTAAGAAATTAATTTACATTTTGTAGCAAACAATAAACATACTTTCCAGCTGTATATGAACAGATATCAAAAATTTCTTATTAAGATCGTTTTTTTTTAACTTTAAATATCCCCCCTCCCCACTTAATAAAGTTTAGTACCGTGGAACTTTGATCTTTTTTCAAGGTATGTAAATATAAATGTGCCAGAAAATAACTTGAAAAGTTGTAGGCTATTAAACTCTATTATTAATTGATTGGGAGGGTTGGGATTGGGTCTTAAATGTCAAAATACGGGTCACATTACGACATTCCAGATACCACACTGAATACCACTGAAAAAAAAGTTTCATTTATCTTTTCCAAAATGTAATGTATTCTGGTACATTTAAATTTCCATAGGTTGAAAAGGGTATTTGGGTGACGCTAAATACTGTTAAGTCAGTGGGGGGGAGGGGGCAGTTGGGAGACGCTAAATACTATTAAGTTAGTGTGTTGGGGGGGGGGGGTAGTTTCTGTCGGGTTCGTTGCGTAGACACTACATAGATGAATATTTTTTTACAGCTAGTTTTTTACAGCTTTTATATTTTAGAAAAGATTTTTACTGGATCCTGGCATTATTTGAATTATAGGTTTTTGAAATTTAAAATTTCAGGTTAAACCTCTGTAGAAATAACGAACATATCGATGTTTTCAAATAATATACATATTTTTTTCCTTGCGGCTTCCAGATATTGTCGAGGCCTTCCAATTTTTTGCCGAACATTAATATTTCTCTTCGTTTTTAAAATATACTAAAATTGGCATATGGTTGTATTAGCACCAATTATTATCTTTTATTTTCAAAGACCTTATTCAATAACATTTTCGCCATTTTGGTTTTATATGCCCTCCCGAATCCGACTCTCTGTGGTTTAGGAGCTAGTCAAAGTGGCCACAATTAGATGACATCCCGTTCCACTTTTTTCGACTTCCGACGCCCTATCACCGTTTCAGAAGCGCAGTCGGTGCACTTAGACGTTAAACCCGATTTCATTTCAATTTCATATCCTTCAGTTATGACCTTTGGATATATGATGAATATATGATGAATATGACCGTTTATTTAAATACAATTTCCGGTCGTATGTCAGCATGGAAATGATATTTCTTCGAGAGTTTGCAAATTCCATTTTAATAGAATTCGTCATTATTATAATGATTAAATGGCCTTTGACCTTTGGATATATAATGACCTTGACCTTAACGTAATTCTTCACATAATGCATAACTTCCGGTTTCATTTATACCTAAATTTTCCGGTTTTGTCGATAACACAATAACTGAGGGTCGTAATGAACTCGTTTTGTAGTTGAATTACTTCAGTTATGACGTCGGGGCAGAACAGTTGTACGTTAAACCCCATTTCATTTCAGTTATGGACAGTGATAAACAATTTGATTATTTATAAATAAATAATTAATGTATGTTAAATATTTGTTTTGTGATTGAGGTCGGTCAAATCAATACGTGGCTAAGTGGGTAAGACGCTGGCTCGCTAGCCTGGAGGTCGGGTGTTCGATCCCTGCTTTGGCCGAGAAAGTTCATTCAGATTTTCCGGCGTGGTTTCCCCTTGTCAGTTATGCAGGATGGAGGGCCCGACAAGGACAGCTGTCTAGTCGTTCGGATGGGACGAAAAACCGAGGTCCCGTGTACACATTGGCGTCCACATAAAAGATCCCATTGCAGTTGGAATTCGATATAAGAGTAGGCCGTAGCGCAGCTGCCCGGGAAAACTTTCCCTCATAGCACACTGTATGGCGTATGCCCGTCTTCATTAGCCCAGGTTAGGAGCAGAACAGTAGGACGTTAAACCCCATTTCATTTCATTTCATTTTTTTGTTAAATTTTGGTGAAAGGCTCTTGCCTAAAATGTTCTAGTTCTTAAACCATGTGACATTTTTATGGTGTTTATCATAAGTCCGTAAATTTCACACTCTACGAGTGCCTGGAAAATGATTTCTATATAGGGCAATGTTATGGTGCTAAATACAACTAAAGAGTGGAATTCCATAAGAATTATGTAACCACAGATGCGTCGGTATGTAACAATATTGTCGTTGCGACATTGTTTTCAAATTTATAGACAAAGAATAGAGAAATATGATGGCTGAAACAATATTGTTATCTTTACAAATTATTCTCCTTTGTCAAAATATTAGCTATGGTATGAGTTTATTTGAAACGCAACTTAAATTATGAAATATTGTGAGAAAAACAGAAGGGAGGTCTGTGATGATATGATACATGAATTGAACTATAGGTTAATAAACACAATTGTCATATGCTATCTTAATGGTCAGGAATGGAGTGTGTCTGTTAACCAAATCTGGTAATGAGTCCTTGTTGGTATGCAAGGCATGACCAACTATATGATTAAAATTACGTCAAATTTGACCAATTAGAAAATGGGTAGCTACAATCCAAGCTTAGGAAAACACTGATGATGTGCGCGATTGTTAGACAGCCACGTAATTCTTAAAGAGAGAAGATGTAGCAATCTCTATCAGCAGACTCGCCCCAGGGTTTGAGCGAATGACTTTATTATAATGCTTGTATACTATAGGTATTGGAGCTTAATATAAAACTGTAATCAAGAAAATCTTGTATTTGTTGTCCCTGTTAGTGATACTAATTAAGATGCAGTATATTCGATCACAACGTGAAGCTGTCATTTATGTGGGATGTCAGAGTGACATATAAAGATACTTCCTGACCAGTTAAAGAATTACAAATAAAGCCAGAGACAATACTAGACGATCAAGGGTTGTTCCAAAATATGTAGTAAGGAAAGGTAGATGGGTCATACGCTCTCCACGTCTGACAGACGACCCATGGTGCTACACGTATATTGTCTTCGCACGTGACCGTCCCGACCTCTATCCACATTTTGTCTGTGGAGACTCTACTGAACACAACTTTTATCTGCCACCGACCTCGGTACCTTGCGATATTGGCATGTATCGACCGTGAGTTTATGGATTGTACGAAAAATCACGTTTTTAGCTTGTAGTCACTCTAGAGGTCATAATATTTATCTGATTTCGATGAAATGTATGTTTATAACTTGAAGATCTCGGTTCCTGTCGATATTTCCGCATCTAGGCCCATAACCTCCTGGGTTATCGTGTGTTCAGTTTGTAGTCACTCTAGATGTCACATTTTTTTTTGGCAAAATGTGGGCGTATCTTGCATGGCACCCGCTTGTTCAACGTGGTTTTCTCTTGTCATTTGTGAAGGACAAGACTGCACATCGTATTATTTTCATTCCATCAAACCAGTATTAATATTTTCAAATTTGCAGATTACCCAGACCACGTCCAAAAATTAGCATGAAGCTACATGTATTGTCATGTATTGTGTTGACCGAGAAAGTTCATCGGAAGTATTCTTGTAAGGGACAAAGTATAGTCGTTGGGATGGAATGTGCACATAAAAATAACCCTTGACAGTTAGAATTCGATATAACTAAATTTAAATTTCATTTCATTTAAGTTGACATACAATGATTAGCGTTAATTATTGCGATCCGCAAACATAATTTGACGTAACGTAAAAATTATCGTAAATTATTATAATCCACGTAGTTATTTTTCCATCACAACAAGTTTAGCAAATTAGTAGCCTTTTTTTCTAAAAGCTTTCTGTCATATTTACAATTTTTATTTAAAGGGAAAGATTCCATTTGTAGAAAGTACTTAGGACAGGCTGTTTTATAATTCGAATCATGACTGACAAATGTCATCCTGCAAAAATTCTTTACGTCCTGGGGGCAAGTATCGGAACCTTTTTCGGGAATATAGCAGGCACAAATCTCATTTAATAAGGCTTCATCTGGAACTTTAACAACCAGGACCTCAGCTACTCCTGGACATCCTCTGATAATATTCTCAATCCAAGATGGGTGGAAATAATTCATTCCTCTCATAATAACATCATCAAACCGTCCCTGTATAATTAACTCTCCCTTTTCTGTAAAACATCCATAGTCATTAGTAAGATACCAACCATCATCTGTAAACTTCGACTTCATTAGATCATCTTCGTCTCCAACATAATGTCTACAGATACCAGGTTTATTAACCAAAACATGCCCATAAGTCCCAGTAGGGACATCCTTCAAATCTTCATCGACTATCTTCACATTAACCATTTCCATTAGCGATCCGGTATGAAAATCCTCAAATCCGGATTCTTGGTCAATTTTCTTTATACTCACGAGTCCCATTTCTGTACTACCATACAAATTATATATCGTGTTAGTTAGCGTACCGATGACCGTACATATGTTCGTTTTCAGTGGTTGACCACCAAGTAATACCGTGTTCAACGGCCATGTAACGTGATCAGACGATTCCCTTTGAATTAACTTTGTCAACTCTAGGCAGGATGCTACTGACAATTTAGCAATTTGACATTTTTCCTGCACAATGATATCCCTAACAAACCGAATATCAAGCCCGTCCTCTGATTTAAACCTCCGATCCAGTAAGATTGTTCTATCCCCAGACATTGTGTACCAAAAGGGAAGTCCCAAGACCCAGCTAATGTTGTGTTGGTCGAAAAGGGAAATTGGGGGACTCAGAGCAAGCATAGATTCGGATAAAGATTTAAACCCTTTTTCAATACTACCAATATATGTGTGGTCTAACGGGATTAATTTGGATACACCAGTGGTCCCCGAAGTTTGCATGATAACCACAACATCATTGGCACTGACAGTAACGTCTTCAATATAAAAATTATCTGTGAGTTCTATCCCTTCTTGCCAGATGAATCCTAGTTCAGTGCCATGATTCAAGTTCGTGTATATTACGCTCTTCAAGTGAGGCAATTGTTTCGAGGTGACATAATTCCCAGAGACAGTATTGAAGTGTTGAGATATGATTCGATTAGCTTGGTCATCAGGACTTGAGGACAGAATTATAGCTCGACATTTTGACTTGTGAAGATTTCGTAGAAGATATGTTCCATCAGACATTTGGATAGTTGCGTTCTGGACAGCACAACCCGCACACAGGATTCCAAAGTAGGCGACCAGAGCTGCAGGAGAGTCTGGAATCAAACTACAAACAACACTGCCTGGTTCTACACCAAGCTTAGACAAACGACGACCAAACTGCACAGAGAGGTCGTAAATTTCTTTTGATGTTAGAACAGCTTTGGGTTTATCTTTAGCAACGTAAACAAAAGCCTGTGAGTCTGGTTGTTTGTTGGCCCAGTATTTTAAACGCTTTGGTATGGTGTAATGTTCATCCAGAGACTCCATCATAAATAACCTATAAACATAAAATAGACCCTTCAGTCTCGGTGAAAATACTTCATTTTGCAAACAAAAGTGAAGTAGATTCATATATACTCTTCAAAATAAGTAGGGGATATTCAGAAACAATACAAAACTGCGGAAATGCACTGCTGTTTATATTAGAGGTAACCAGTGTATGTTAATAACAGGCCACCTGCCTACACATGAACATATACAGTTCGTATGGGCGGCTTATCTGACGGCCCCATTTCACCCCCAAAGAAATACACCGTCAAAAGTGAAAATGGACGTTTTTGATTTCTGTTTTAATAATGAGTAATTGCTCCACCAGTCCTCAGACATTCAGCAATTCTTCGTGACATGCTCCTAAACAACCATGCAATCACGATTTGGGGCAATCTGGCCCACTCCTCTTGCAGTGATACGGTCAATTCTTGCAGTGTTGTCGGTTGACGTTGACGTCGACGAACACGTCTCCCGATCATGTCCCAGACATGCTCTATAGGGGAAAGGTCAGGACTCATGGCTGGCCAAGGCATATGGACAATATGGTGACGTTGGTGGTAGTCATTCACGACATGAGCGTGGTGGACATGGGCATTATCATCTTGAAAGATGAAACGTCGGCCTGCACGTTCAGCAAAGGGCAGAACATCGGTGCCAGGATGTGGTCACGGTAGTACACACTAGTGACCCTTCCTTGAACAATATGCAAGTCCGTTCTGTCAGTCATGGTGATTCCCCACACAATAAGAGAACCACACCCGAATATGTCATGCTGTCTGACGTTAACGTTAACATGACGCTCATTTACACGACCGACTCCAAACGCGAGCACGCCTATTGGTGAAATCCAGAGTAAATCTGGACTCATCTGGGAACATTACACGCGCCCATCGACGATTACTCCAATTTCTGCACTACCTACACCATTGACGCCTGTTTGCCGTGTGCTGGCGAGTTAATGGAGGCACAACACGCGGTCGTCGCGCATGCAAATGGGTTGCATGTAGCCGATTTCTAATCGTTTGGGGTGTACCTCGAATTTCTGTAACTTAGTACAAGTTTACAGAAAGCTGATTGGCCGTTTGTCCTCGATTTCGCAGGACCTGTGTACGAATGTGTCGATCCCGGGCTTGTGCAGTGGCTCTAGGACGACCTGAACGAGGTCTATCATCAACATTGTGTGTTTGTTGGTACCGGTTCCACAGTCTGCTGATCACAGACTGTGACACATTACGCATGTTGGCTGTGTAGAACCCATTTGAAGCATGCCAATAGCACGTAGACGTTCGTCATGTTGAAGACGTTAAACGTAACACACTAAAGCAAAAATACGCTAAACAGTAAATCTTATGCAAAAACCGATAGGAAAGCAAACATGGATAGGATAAACCAGCACGCGGCAGTTTTCATCCACCCTTCTTTGAAGTGTCAAATTTGACAATGAACCCCTCCCACGTGTACGGCGCTATTGCGTGTCGCACGTGCAGCTCAGTGGTTCTGTTGCGACGGTAAGTTCTTCATCTGTGAACATTCTCACAAAGCATGTCAAGTGTCCATGACTATTTATCATATTACAACCTGCATAGGTATTTGCATTTCAATCTCCCCTACTTTTTTTGAAGAGTATATATTCCAGATCAAAGTAGGCATATACTGCTTTGTACAAAACACTCGTTATTAAACAGTTATAATATGGATTAATATTTTGAAATTGGTCGCAACGAGAAACAGTATTACTTGAATATAAGGGCAGTGAATTGAATACACCGAGTTCACAAACCAATTCCGATATACTTTGATTAATTCGGGATCTATCACCGCGAGTAAATCACGAATCGAGAGTTAAAATCAGAAATGGCCAAAGATAGCATGTTATATATAACAATCTTCATTTGTAAAACCGCTATGTCTGTAGAAAGTTAAGGCAACATACCAAGTTTCATTAAATTCGGATGAACATTTGGCTCTTTTGCTTTCGCAAGCTAGTGTGAGGGGACGGACAGCGATGACAGCAATACATTAAAAGTGCAAGTGTTACAATTAATTATACCCAACTGGGTCAAATTAGAAATGACCTTTTTATTGACCTGTGATAATAGGGGGCCACTGTAGTAGTAAAGTCTCTGAACTCCACTGGAATGTGTCGTGTTCGAGACAAATATATAGTTTCGTCAAACCTGGTCGGTGTTGACAGTTTTGTATAGACTTTCAATTCCTATAGCAATAACTCTTCCGCCATCAAACTAACACACGACCAATCAGAGTTTGGTCTCAGACTAGTAATTATTTGTCCATTGACTTCAATGTTAAATGGCTGTAACATCACAGGCTGTAGCTTTTTGCTCAACATTCCGTTGGTTCCAATCTTTATAGGCACAATGGGGACCACATTTGGCAATATCCTCATCATAATTTTGTAGTGGGTTGACGTTTAGATTTTTTACTACGGGGATTTGATGTTGACTGGGGTGAAAATCTCACTTCTGACACAGTGATTGCTCTGCAAAAAGACACTGTAATATCATCAGTATTACCCAAAACTGCTATGAAATTGCAAATTTTATCCCTTTTCTCCAATTCTAGACCAAAAAGTCAACCCAAAAATGCAGGAAGAGGGGAGAAAAAAATTAAGGGAAAAATTGTCTATTTATAACTCGTACTACATAAGGGGAAACAATTACTAGTCTGAGTCCATTTACATCAAATTCCATGCTACAGTACCGCAACTACAAATAATCAGATCTCTTTCAAATGTGCAATGAGCATTGTTAGCTATGTGATACAAAAGAAACAATGATACACTGGAAGTTATAGAAGGAGCAACCATTGTCAGTTCTCAATTTAAGCCCAAAGTACTTACCTAGGAAATCAGATCTTTGTGATATTACGTCATTAGATGTAACTCTTTATTATATAGGTAACTAGTTCGTGATATTACATAGTTTACAATATCATTTTTATGCACAGATATACTAACAGGTTTTAACCTTTCTTAATATAATTCATGTTTGTGCACTATCTATAGGTCGATTTACACCACATAAACTGTACACATCACTGAATATATCACCCATGTTATTGGTATATATATTTAAAGAGCAGGCAAGACGTTGGCGGGGGCGACAGATCCGAAGCATTACCGCGGTGTTGGCCTCACTTTACCCTTATCCTATACATTTACGCACTTAGATTTTCGAAATTCTTTTAAGACATTCAAGATAGCGTATCCAGGCGCGTGTGCAGACCTTACTCCGAACTTGACATTGTCGACGCCACGCTCAAATATCCGAACACGGACCTTTGTAACTCCGTCACTATTTGAAACGTGGTTGGAATAAATAACATATCGATGGCTTAAAAATGGCATATTGAACATTCCTTTTACGATTTCCAGAAAAAAACACCGAGGTCTTCCGAATTTTCTCGAACGTGGACATTTGATGTTTACCATGGGTATTTTGTCAGACGTAGGATGTGGCGACCGGTTTTGAGCTATGGCCGCTTTCCACGTCTGACAGAAGAACCATGGTGCTACATATTCGATTTAAAAAAAAGTCCTCAAATTTCCTACAGTCGCGTTTAAAATATCCTTCTATGCGACAAATCCAACAAGTCATATTTTTCTGAAAACTCGCCTGAACCTCGTTTACCCCTCGATTTCTTTTGTCGGCATTCATGACTTACGTGACCACGGCGAAAAATAGATTCCACACTCGCGGTTTCCTACATAACCGATATCTATCGGTTCATGTTCGCTATTCGTATATACTCGTTCATGTTGTCCTCCCAATCTTAACGCAAATCGTTTCCTTATATACTCAGCCAAATTAAAAACTTGACACTGATGAATTTCAACAAAATTGTTTTTCTGGTAAGTCAAATAAATTTTAAAGTGTTTCTAACGATAGTAAGTAGTAAGAAGCCTTTAATTTCATAAAATTGTAAAGTCACGTGGATCACGTGACGTTTGAGCCTATAAAGATGAAAAACCTGAAAAACACGTGCAAACACAAACTCGTGAGGTCAATCGGTGCAAGTTTGCTTAAACTGAACACGCACACGTAACTTGAACTGGAAAAACAAATTAAAATTGTTATTTTCATCTTTGTTAGAAAATGCCGCGCCTTTCAAATGTAGAACGTCTACGTGCTATAGGTAGGCTCTATGCTGGTCAGTCTGTGGTCACTGTTGCAAGAGCCTTTAATTGTTCACGCCAGACAATAATTAATCTTAGAATGAGAGTGCTTCAAACTGGAACTATTGCGTGTGACGTCACTCCAGAAAGATCAAGCAATACGATTACGTCATCTAAGAAACAGATTTGTCACTGCAACCTCCACAAGTAGAGAGATGTTTGGTGGAAGGGTAACTGCACAAACTGTTCGAAATCGGTTGCAGGCTGCTGGTCTTTGAGCTCGGAGGCCCTATAATGGACCAATATTGACACCTCTTCATCGCCGTAACCGACTTGTTAAAATTTACTCGAAGACAGTGGAATTCGGTTGTGTTTAGTGACGAATCTCGATTCACTTTGAGATTTGCCGATGGCAGGGTCCGAGTGTACCGCAGACGAGGTGAACGTTACGCTCAAGTATGCGTCAGAGAAGTTGACCGATTTGGTGACGTCGCAGGACCTTCAACATGCTCTTGCTGAGCAGTGGCGACGTCTTCCTCGGGTAGTGTTTACTAATGTTCTGAGATCCATGAGAAGACGTTGTGTGAAAGTACGAGACGCTAGAGGAGGCCACAACCGTTACTAAACACTTTATTCCGATTGTTCTGTGGGGGTAACTGTGACATCACGAACGTTATCAATGTCAAGGACTTTTGGCGAGACGTATTCTTGCTTTCTGTTGATGTCAAGGTCGTCTGTGCACAACATAACACTAAAATAGTTGCCTTAAACCAAATATGAAAAATCTAGTCCCAAAAATCCCGAGTGTCAAGTTTTTAATTTGGCTGAGTATATATCGTTCTTGCTTAACCAATTATACAGTTGCGGCGAAAGTCTGCGGATCTTCACATAAAAGTTTTGTTTATATAGTCCATCTACAAAGAAATTAATTAGATGCTTATCAAATTCCAGCTGTCCTGCATAACCTGGAAATGCTTCAGCAGCTAATGATAAAAAAATTTCAGCAAAACCTTGCATGCTTTTTTCGGGTTGTGAGGATGTACATTAATCAATAAAGAATTAAAACCAACTTTATAATTTACTATTAAAACGTTTTGTGCTGGAAATATAACGTTGAACGGCAAGAAATATTTACTTGTTTAAAATGTTGGGTAAAACAGGGCTCCCATTTAGTAAGATATGTAATTATTCGTCAGAGGTAAGACTATTAAGATAATTAATATCGGACATTAGCACATCTCTTTGAGCGGTATAAATGGGACATTTAAAAAAGTAATAGTATATATTTTCCACTGACATTTTACAAGAACATAGAGGAGTGTCAATAATGTTAGATTGAAATAGGTCATTATTAAGGCTACTAGATGAATGACGGAGTCGGTTATGAAGAATTGTTAGTTGACGTATGCCAGAGTTTCTATAATGTGGTGTCGGAAATTTAATTGAAATAGATTTTTTGAAATTGAGATATGAATTTGTATTCTTTTTATCAGTTAATAGTCTATTATATTCAGAAATAGTTTTAGGAAAAAAGGATTGTTTATTAAGACTTAGTCTACAAAAAGGAATCGGTATATTATCTTGCTTTCTTAGATTATATGGTATATTATTGATAGAAGGAACTCAATCTGATAAGTATGAGGGACAATGACCATTTATTATTTTCCAAAGTAAACAAAGTCTGCAGATTTTTCTGCGATCTTATAGTTTGGGCCACCCAGTCTGCAGATTTTTCTGCGATCTTATAGTTTGGGCCACCCAGTTTCGAAATATAAGGCGGACCTCGACGTGTAAATTGTGCATCCTGTAACAATTTACGCTGCCTTTAGTTGAAATAATTCTAATTTATAAATATGGAAATTTGCACAGGAATCCCAAACTTCACATGCATATTCTAAAATAGGTCTAATAAAACATCTATACAACTTATTTAAGGAGGATTGCGATAAATTATATTTTACTTTCCTTAAATGAAATAGTTTTAAAGAGGCTTGTTTTAACATATTATCGATTTGAAAATTCCACTATGAAAAATTACCCGTAAATGATAATATGAATTAACTAGAACGGTTTTATGAAATTTAATATTTAATGGATAGCAAATGCTTTTGTTTGTAAATATAAGTAAGGATGTTTTTTTTCAGGATTTTCTTTGACCATGTATACAAGATATCTAGATCTAAATTTAAGGTTTTTTTCATAGATAGATATATCAGTTGAAATTAGGGATGTGTCGTCTGCAAATAATCTAGACATGCTTATTAGACCTTCATATATGTCGTTTATATAGATAAGAAAAAGTAGCGGACCAAGTACAGAACCTTGTGGGACCCCGGCATTGGGAAATGTAATACATGAATGAAAGTTTTCAAGTATGACTTGTTGTTTTCTATTTGTTATGAGTTTGTTGATTAACATTATCCGCTAAAGTTAAGCATGCATTATGCAAGAGCTAAATCTGTCTATTGCAGGTATTTCTTTAGGCCAGAAATGTTATCTAAATTATTAATCTAAATTATTAATTAGACCTTAATTAGCTTTTACAGACCATAATCAACCCTCGATGCCTTCGTTAGCCTGCGATATTTAGTGGATTTGAATATATTTTGTGATGGATAATTTAACGTAAAAATGGATAATCGAGACTTTGTTTATTATCGTGCCAACCGTAGTAATGGACGATCGAGGCCAGCTTAAAATTGAATCGCTAATATCTCGCTTCAGAGTGAAGCAATTTAATTGACATTTTCAGCATATTCTGTTTTCATTATCTATTTTTAACTATTATAGCGAGAACTGTCAGCTCTTTATCTAATCTCAACTAATGTCACTTTAAGCAGAGCTAAGCAATTTCATTGGTCGATGCTTTGGGACAAGATAACTTTGATTCTAACTTATGTAGAGTGTTGAAACTTAGTGTAGAATTTCAATACCAGGTACTTTAAAACCTTGACTGAGTTCAATCTTGAACATTTTCTGCTTATACTGAGAATAGATAATCAGTTTGATCGCTCGATACTTTCCAAAAAAATAAAAATGCAATTATTTATTTTGGGATTGCGATGGAGGACTCCAGTATCACTGTTGGCTTGTTTCAACTTATTTTTCGACTGACAACAATGGTATGAACTTGGCGACTAATTTTGTCCCCTGCCTGTCTGTCTGCATATCTGTCTTTCTGTCACACTTATCTGGACACAATAACTCTCATTCAAATTGAGCTAGAATGTCCAAACTTAGTGTAGGTCTTTATTAGGCGAAGATTCATTGAGTTCGAAGATTAACATTTTCTGTTAAAAGTAAGCAGAGATAAGCCATTTGATTGTCTGATGCTTTGAGACACGGTAACTTTGGTTCTAATTAAGTGAGAAATGAAATGAAATGAAATGAAATGGGATTTAACCTCCTACTGTTCTGCTCCGAACTGGGCTAATGAAGACGGGCTTACTCCATGCAGTGTGCTAAGAGGGAAAATTTGCCCGGACAGTGGCACTACGGCCTACCCTTATATCGAATTCCAACTGCCAAGGGATCTTTTACGTGCACGCCAATGTGTACACAGGACCTCCGTTTGTCGTCCCATCCGAACGACAAGACAGCTGTCCTTGTCAGGCCCTCTGTCCTGCATCACTGACAAGGGGGACGGCCGGTGCAAAACCTTCTTCCACTCCACACCCCTGGTTTGTGGAGAAAGGTAACCCCATTTTATTTCATTGCATTTATTGATATATTAAATTGCACTC